CAGCAGGAACTGTACATTCAGGAATGCAGATGTAAGGTTTTACCTTCCATTTCCCCACAACAGAAGACAGGGCCTTGCAAAGTCATTATAACCCAAGTCCCAGTTAAATCTTACACAGCCATTACTGTATTTAGATAAAAGTTTCCCACATATTACATTTTATTGGAGGGTAAAAAGGAAAAGATAAAGAATACTGATTGAAAAACATCTCTGTTATCAAGAGGCAAGCCCCTGGATTTCTCCCAGAACTCAGCATTATTCATTTTACACAACAGTACTGATTTTTTTTTAATCCAACCACTTCCTTCTGTTATAAGAGTTATTTATTTGTATCATTGATAACTAATAAATGACCCTTTACGAAGAAAAGCCATATTATACTATAATGCGTAATTTCCTGTCAGTTTTTCTTTTCACAGCATCTTTTAGCTAGGCATGTAGTGATGTACTTAGGGTTCACGTGAACTTTATTAGAGGGTAATAACATCACATCTTCACCAAAGTATGTATGCCATGTCACCAGGCTACCTTCAAGAAACAGACCTTGAAGCCCAACTACTGCTGTTGTTACAGCTCTCAAAGTTAGGAAAAAATAGATTAAGCTGGATAACTACATTCCTTAGACTTCCTCCAAGAGCTGGAAAGCCACTTCAGCAAGAAGAGTTGTAAGTGAAAGCTAACAAGGACATGAATGTTTAACTTCAAGACAATTTCAATTGCAGGACATTCTTTGTAACCATTGAAGGATGTCTAATTTTCTTTTATCTGTAATCGATTAGGACTGAAGTTGTTGCTTCAAACCTGCGTGCCCCACAAAGCAAATTCCAGCTTTACTAAGAAATGCTAAACATCTAGGTGGGAGGAGTGCTCCCACCAGTATGAAGGAGCTCTGGACCCAAGTTGAACATTATTTCCTCAGCAAACAGAGTGATAACTAAAACCAAACAAACAACAAACCCCAGACTGTTTCTCTTCATCAAATGTTATGCATAAGCAAAAGGCACACAAGGAATCTTCCCAGGTTATGATTCCCCGAAAAAGGGATTAATTCCACAACATGTTATGAGAGTTTTGAAGATTTGAGATAACTGAATTAATGACCATCTTGCTACAAAGAAATCTTTATTAAGGTTCTTAGGAATATCATAGCTGCTCTATGTCTCCAAAGAAGATCAGGTCAATCAGCATGTCAACACAAATAAAGGAAACAATTTTCTGACAACTTCCATAAAATTTATTCAAAGAAACAAAAAGCAAATCAAGTTCTTTAATCTTGGGAGGTGGGCTGGGAGGTTAAAAAAAAAAAAAAAAAGCCTGTTCTGGTCTCTTATTTTTGTTCTCTAGTAATCTTCAGAGTTCAAAACCACATAGAACAGAAACAGGAAACAGCACTCATGATAAGAAAGATCAGGTAAGACAGAAAAAAGCGGAGAAGAGGTTTTTACCTTGTTTCCATCGTTGAATTGCCGCTTCGGAACAAAAAGTTTCTTTATCACACTAACTAGAATCTATTTAGGTTCTCCAGTTCCCTTTCACATCAGCTTTACTGTCACTTCATTGCTTCAAGATTCATGAAGAGAAAAACACCCTTAACAGAGTTCACCTACTATAACAGCGACAGTAGGTTACTGAACGATGCAGCAACAACAACAACAAAGAAGCCCAAACAGCAACAAAACCAAAACCCAACAAAAACTAATACTGCTGCTGACACTGAGAAAAATCTTGAAACTATGGAGTGACAGCAAGACAGACAAGGCTTATTTTCTTGCACAAAATCTAAAATTAGGAGAAAAATATTTTATTTAATTAATCTGAACATCCTAAACAAAGTTCTATATTTTAACATGCGTTACAGGTTGTCTTATTGTAACTCACCTTTCCATATCAGTCTTTCTTGGCAATCTATATTAAAAAAAAAAAAAAAAGAAATGCTTATTATATATTGTTCTATTACATTTCAGACCACTAGAAATTTCGTTAGTAACCCTTCAAGTAAGTACAAAAACTTCAACATACCTATAAAGAGCATTTCAAAATTTTTACGACTGTAAATGTTTCCTAAAATCTAATGAAATTACGTTTGATAAAAGAAGCAGCTTGACAGCTCTAGAAAACAGCCTAGTTAAGGGGGAGGGGAATAAATAAAACCAGGTTTACAATAGCACCACAGGGCACCTGCCATTACTCTGTACCAGGTAAGCTGGAACTGGTTGAATTAATTTAACAGCTTGATGAAGGGTGCCAAAACCCCAAGGTTTCTGCTAATCTAGTGAGCCCCGCAGTATCACTGCCTGTGCTTTGTAACTGATGACCCTCACTAAGCACCCACAGCTAGGGTTAATGAATTCATAGCAGCTATCCCAGAACATCTGCAGCAGGTGTTAAAATTGCCTGTTTCCTGATCTGCCTGAAATGGGTTTCTCTTCCCTTTTTAATCCATCTAAAAGTGGAGAAATGCCATACTCCAGAACTTTTATCAGCACCCCGCGTGACAGACACGACAGAAAAACAGTCCCCTCTCTACAGTATTGTTCTGCAGGTATCACAGGCATCTTGTTTAGAAAGTGATTTTTTTTTTATTATTCTAGGACTAGGCTGGTGCTGGTAAAAGAATGAGAAATCATTTTGTTGGAAGGAAGGGTGAGAATACTTTCCAGCTGGGATTTCTCCTAGCCAAGTCCATACTTTATGAGGAAATACAGTGGAAAATCTAGCTCACCCTGCTTTTGGAGGGGACACTACACAGCTTATAAACTACTTGGTGAATCAAAGGGCCTAAAGCATTCCCCATGCGCTGTTCACAGCACCCATTTTATTTGGTACCTTAATTACCTGCTGAAGTCAAAGGGACCTGTTCTACACCTTAATACAAGAATAAAAGACATCACAGGCACATGCTCCTACAAGAACGCACACAGTACCAACTACTGTCTACGCAAACCATAAACATACGGGAAAGACTTCTTGACTGACCTTTTGGAAGCTCTTCCAAAGCAAACTAAAATTCTAAAACTCCTCGTCCTTTCCAGAGTTTGAACGCTCTCAACCCCGAGTCAAGCAAAACCCTGTTCGCATGCTTACCAGATTTGGTATTTTACAAAAACTATACCTATTTTTTTTCCACTTGTTCTGTATATCACTTTGTAAAACATACAGGTTCCCCACAAGAACCTCTAAGGTTAAACAAAGTAAGAGAGAAGCAGGTTTATTCAGAGTCCAAATGCTTTCAGGAAAGTTTTTCTTGGCCCAAAAGCATTCCTTTGTTTTGCCACTTCAAACACAACAACACTAGCATAGCTGATCATAAATTAAATGTAAATAACTTATTTTATTTCCTCAAAATAATCAAACGGTATTCTAAAAACTACACAGGTAACTCAAGTAGTTGCAGCATCAGAAAATATCTCAGTTTCACACCTTTCGGTTTCCTGTATTTTGATATCAGCACAAACACCATAGTTAGGGTTTTTGACAATAACTCGGGGGCGAACTTAAGCGTTTGACCAGACAACCTGCACTCACAGAATCACAGAACGATAGGGGTTGGAAGGGACCCCGAAAGATCACCTAGTCCAACCCCCCTGCCAGAGCAGGACCACCTGCCTCACGGTCGTTTCCTCTCTCTATGACAGGCCTCTCGGCAGCTTTCAACAGGCCCCTGATTACAGCCTGGTGCAGAGACAAACCTGCACGAACAGGGCATTTCCCCAGCGTGGGAGAAGGGGAAGGAACAACCACCTCCCTCCGCTCCCACCCCGGCCGGGGTTCGGGACAGATATCCCTGGCGAGGCCTCCTCCTCCTCCCGGGGTGCTGGAGGCGGCACTGCTAGCCCTGGCAGCCGGGCAGGGAGAGAGGCGCGGGAGCGGGCCGGGGGAAACCGGGGGCACTCACAGGTCGGCCAGCACAGTGAGCTCGGCGTAGGTCCGGTGCAGGAGGA